TTACAAATATCACAACATGCCTGAAAAATTTCAATTGGACGACAATCTTAAAACATTTAAAACAAAAACACACCACGACGTACCTAAATAAAAGGTTTTACTAAAGCCTACAAAACGTGAGTTTACGACAAACAGAACTAAGACGTTGCGCACGGTATTGGTACCACTGAGCGTTACACGACGTCCCAATAAAACTAGGATGCTGACGTTTTTTCAAAGGACGTTTCAAGCATACAAGCTTTTTACTTATGTGAAAATGCCACTTAAAGTAACCATAGAATTTACATTCTTTTAAGAAGTCTTTATTTTGCAGAGATTTTCGTAGTCGCTTCGATTCATTATGTATTTTCATTTTTCCATGTTGGGGTTAGCATTTTAAAATAAATGCAAACATTGATATCCAAATTTCCATAGAATTAAAAAAATATTTTAAACACTCATGAATAATTGCCCCTAACAGCAATGTTTAGCACTGAATAACAATTTGACGTTTTGAATCATTTGTATGTGAGAAGATTTAACATCTTTTTTGTATATTATTTAGCGTCTTTCATTTTCAAAATCCAGAATGTTTTGAAACTTCAAAACTGATTTTGATACAATAAGCGAAACAAATGCAGGGAAAAACTGACACTACCGTATTTCTCTTATGAAGAATGTGCTTCCAAAATATTATGTGCATATATATCTGTATTATCAGTTTCTTCTTTTTCTAAAAATTAAGTAATGTTCTTTGTGCCGCAAAACTTCTTCAATCTTGGCTAGTAAAATTGTTAAAAGTTTGTTTCTTGTTTCTGTTTCTTCCCTTCTATTATTAGTTTCTTTTTGTCACGTTGTTGATGTTGGTACTTTCTCTCCCACAATTTGTCTTTTTAAAATAAAACTTATATTCAAATGCTTCTTAATTTGATTATTTGAAAGATGTTGATAGACGATTCATTTTATCTCCACTTTATTCATAAGAGGTCCGTTGTATTCATTTTTTTCTAAAAATAAAAGTCGCTTATACTAGTGTTATAATTCATATTTCATATATTATCGGTTTAACTCGATGAATCATCATCATATGCGTATTAGTTCACGATTTTGACATCAATAACAATTTTGTGGAAATTGTTTAAAATTGGCAATATTTTTTGATAAATCCCTTATGAAAAACTTTATGGAATATGCATCACGTATGAAATAGAAATACGTGTAATTGTGCTGCCATTGTTGATTTTCAATATTTGAAGGTAGAACGGGGTTTAGATTATTATTTTATTATTGCAGAAAACTACAAATAATCGATTTAAAATTTTTACCATTATTGTTAGCAAGATTGAATGATGAATGAATGAAATTAATTTGTGAAATTTTCATTAAAAAAGAATAAATAATGAGCTTATCTTATGGTACATCATTTTCATTTAAAAAAAAGGTTTCATTGATTGAAATTTTTAAATCATGGTTGTTTTATCAGGTAAATAATCCAGAATGTTTATAATTTATTTTATAAAGGAATTTACAAAACATTTACCTATTTTGTGATGAAGTAAGAAAACGAATATGGGGATTCCGGTTTTTTTTTTTTTTTTGCTTTCGGAGAGCACATAATAAGAGCTGTCTCCTCATATATATATATTATTTAAAACTCTATCTCTTAGTTTTCTTTATATTCGCATAAATTTACATTTCCCGTGTATAATCCTTACAAAATCTGAACATTTTTCACAAACTTTTAATAGCTCTAAAAAAAGGTCGGCGATCCATACTTTTTACTATGTTTTTGAAATTATAGCATTTTGGCAAAGTATGAAAAACTCTACCCCTTTTTATATAGACCCAAATAAAGCTACATCAACTGATATTTGACCAACAGCAGAGTGAAACCGATTTTAAAAAATATACTCAATTTGTTGTGACAAGATATATATTATTTAAGTAGCTGCTTTCGTAAATATACATGGATCAATGTTTTCTGAAAGGAAGTACTATGGACCAGGAGTGCATTTCATGTACGTTTTATACTATGAATTGGGTTTTTTTAGCGCTTCCAATTTTAAAATATAACTAGGTATTGGTTAACCATTAATTTTCTTTGACATTTTTAGACCGTTTTCAAACGGGTTATCAAGTTACGGGTTTCGGGTTTCGATTTTGAGTGTTTTTGATTTTTTTAACAAGTATAAAAAGCAATATTCCAGCCATTTTTGTGACGTTTTGCGAAGAGAAAAAATAAATCTACTATACACAAAAATGAACTTTTCCACACAGCAGATTGGTTGATTGATTTATTTGTGTTTAACGCCAAATTCAGCACGATTGGCTATTTCGTGGCGGTCAATTTTTATTGTTGAAGGAAGCCGAAGTGCTCAGAGAGAACCGCCGATACACACAGCAGACATTTTGTAGTTGATTTAGTGGAAAAAAAGGAACTATGGTGTCAATTTGTTACACATACAGCGTGTTCAATGCAGTATATTTATTGTATTTAATATTCTTTCTTTAGTATTTCTATAAATTGGTTATGCATGCAAACAATGATGTACTTCCCACAAAATATACGCTTTCAAGAAATATGGATAGTTTTTTTTTTTTGGAAGATATGGGGTAGAGTGCATGGTGACTTTTTTCTAAAGGGAGCTTAAACTAGGTTAAAATGTACTTGGGAGTGTCTTTAAATTATTACACTGCACCTGCTACATACATAGTTGCGTGCAATCCATCATATTTATCGGACAACTATTACCCTAACACTCAAATTAATGTAAAAGACAAGTTTCAATTAACATTTTAATACTCGTCCATCGCATGCCTATATAGCAGTAAATTCTGTTGGAGATTCGAGACAACAGACTCCATTATTCCACACACATTACCTCTAGAAGTAACACTGTGACCTTCCTTTTCATACATATGTTGCTAGGTAGATGATAAGAGATTGTTCTACTCACAGTAAACATTTCTATATTTATACTACTACATGGAGCTAAGAATACAAGTACGAAAACAAAATCCCGGCTCTGCAAACTGGCTAGAAAAATTGATTCACATATTTAGTTCCGATTCTTTAATTGCAACGCTAGGAATTAAGGTCAGGGTGTAAAGCTTGGGTTTGAGTCGTTTATAATCTGGCTAAGGGAAAACAATAAGGTGAGCCCATTTTTGGATGCATTTTCATTTTTACTGCATGTTCTTTTTCTAAAAGTGAGACTGTGATCGTATGTGAACTTGTCTCACATTTTTGGCCTCGGAGCCTGGTCTTTGTCAAGCATTCGAGTTAAATATTTCGTCGTATTTGAATTATTTATACAATGTAGATCTACTTTGATGCATATTTAAACAAGAACTTTATTTAATATAGATCAGATCATTTCATAAGATTAATTGTATGCCAAATATGCAAAAAATTAAGCGTTATCATGACGTGAACGTCAAATTACAGTTATGGGGACATGTTATTGGACATCTAAGTTCGTTTCGTATTTTATACCTGCAGCTCAAACAAAAATATATATCACATCATTTTAGAAGAAATGAAATGTATTTTCCGTTCATATCGGTTAAAGAGTGTTCAAAATTGGGGATCAAATAAAATTTCGTTTAATAAACAGCCTCTGGGTTACTCTATGCGTCATTTTATCCATCGGGACATTTTATTGGACACGGGGAAAACTGACTATGTTTTGAAAGTAAGACTGCAGTTATATAGTGATGACTTCATAAAGCTTCTTTAGGACATGTATAAATTTTCTGATAATATTAAAAGCCACTTTCATCTGTTATATCTTGTAATAGTGGAGGCCGAAAGTTTTCATAGGAGCTGAGCAGCTGAATGGGACATTTTTTCTCTTCCTAAGCTCAACGCTCCTGACAATCTTCTTTCACTCACAGTTAAATACGTTTATGACGCTATTTTTCATCAATTGTATACAATACTGTTGTAAAATGTTACCTCATTTAACTTACTAACTAGTCCGCATTGTGATTTCAAAGACACAAACAAAACAAAATTGTAACAGCGGGACACCCTTAAAATGACGTTATAGCCGTCGATATGAGCAAAGTTTTTCTTTACATGATATAAATAGCACGAATATAGCTATTTTATTGATTTCTGTGGTTTATTTCCTTTCGAATGATATACTGATCATGGATATATATTGTATAGGAAAAGAGCGTGAATTGGATTAACCCGCTATCTAACGCATTTTTTCAAAGAAGCACCGATACCGTGCACAACGTCCAAGCGATTGATGAAAATGTTCACCTAATTGCATAAACAATTAATCACTAGTAACATCTATAGTTTACAGTGCAAATATTGCAGACAGACAATCTGATTCACCAGCGTATTTGACATTTTTCGGGGTATTAAACTATATCACTCTCCTCAGCTCTTATTAAAATTGCATATCACGGCTTTGTGACGTCAAATACGTTGACCCGGCCTTAATAACTTTGACCCGGCCTTAATAACTTTGACCCGGCCTTAATAACTTTGACCCGGACATATTACCGACGTCATAATATATGAACCGACTTTGAAAAGTTTGACCCGAACTTATCAAGTCATCTTCCGGTTTGCCTGGTGAAGCAAAGGAAACACTTATTTCTATCATGCAAAATACGCAAATACAACCCAATCAATCGATTATCTAGTTGTCTGTATATTTATATTGTAAAATATCAGCTGCTCGACACAATATGAAGCCTTTTTGAATTCGTTCTCTACGCTCATTCGACAAAAAGTTCATATTATGACTCGCAGCTGATATTTTACGATATCGATACGCAGACAACCGGATAATCGGTACGTATTTTGCTATCAATTCATATGAATTACGTATTTATTATTATTTTGCTTGCATGCTAAAGTACACGTGACTCGTCAGCTTGAGTGAAATCTTATTAGGTTTTAATTCTATATATGTAGTAAAGGTTTGGCACATGCGTTGATTTGGGATGGCACTTTGATACTGTTTTCCTTGTCATATATCATAATATATATATTTCAGGAGATCTCTTGAGGCATCAAAACGAGCTGGAGTTCCACTGATGGTTCATCATTCATTATCTACTGTACCTACACAGTCAGATGGTATGTACCAGTATAAATACAAGTACAATGCGAGGTTTAATATATCGTTCATATCATTTATCAAACATTTTCATCAAATTACACAAAAATTCATTTTTGCATAGTTGAATGTATAAATTCTGCATTGTAATTTGACAGCATGAAGTGTTCTTCTCATTACTTTGCATTGTACACAAATTTTCCGTAAGCAATCTGCTTGATTTTTCAAAAGTACTTATTTGGTTATGTCGCATTGGGGAACATTTACATTTAATCAATATTTCCAAATTTTATTGGCCATGGCTACCACTCTTAGTATTTTTCTTGTGTTCCGTTTATCATTTTGAGAAGTGTTTTAAGGATTGAACTTTCATGTACTTGATGTTCAAATTCAATTGTTGAAAACATTTTCAATTTTCGAAGAAACCTTTGACTTTTCAATATTGAAATTCTATACCAAGTTTCTGCATTTAACGCACATAATGGAATAAATCAGCTTTAACTGTGAACTTGCTATTTCAACCTCTTGTGCAGTTAATCTCGTACAAGCTAAAACTCATCAAAATTACCAGGCTTATAATAAGATACGCCAGGCTAGTATCATCTACACGAGACTCATCACTATTGTTCGAATCAAAACAGTTGCAAGGCCCAATGAAATCGAAATTGAAGAGCATTTAAAACTAAAAAATCATCTGGAATTTTGAACGGAAAACAATATAAACTTTATGAGGATTGGCAGGATATTCATATCATTAATAACGAAATACAAAACATTTAAGGTTATGATAAAATATTTAAGCGGGACATAACATAAAAATTTAAAGGACAGACAGCACGTCCCAAAATACTACAAAGTACATTTAAGATTGACCAAGTCGACTTCCTACAAAACCTCAGCAGTAAATGTATTTATCTTGAAACTAATGAACAAAAAGGACAATAGACTTTATCTTCTCATTTATAAAATTTAATTTTATTATATTAATTTAGGGAAGTCATCGACGTTATGTTGTCCAAAAGACATGCGCACAGGCGTCTACTATTTATATATTAAATTTTATTATATTAATTTAGGGAAGTCATCGACGTTATGTTGTCCAAAAGACATGCGCACAGGCGACATTTATACTCATACATTCCACGCTCATAAAGGCACTATTTTGGACGAAAGGACCAATACTATTTACCCGGATGTACTGAATGCTAGTAAAAGAGCTGTTTTGTTTGATGTTGGCCATGGACAAGGATCTTTTAGTTGGAGTGTCGTCGAAATTTGCGCAAAAACGAACTTTTGGCCAGATATTATTGGGACTGATTTGCATACAGGAAACCAAGATGGTCCGGTATACGATCTACCAACAGTTATGTCGAAGTTTTTGCATACTGGCATGCCATTAGTCGACATAGTCAAGGCAACTACCTTTACCCCAGCACGTGCAATTAAATGGTCAAATTCGATTGGCACTCTTACAGTGGGAAAAACAGCCGATATTACAGTGTTGAAAATAAATGAAGTTGACATTGACCTCGAAGATTCTCAGTCTCAATTAAGAAACATATCAAAACTGATTAAGCCTGTAGCTGTCTGGAAAGCAGGAAGACGATATGATATAACAAATCCCAAACACTTTCCAAACCTCTATGCTCGAGCTAACAATGCACCGGAGTGGCATAAATTAGTCATAAGAGATGAAATACCGCCGGATGAACTTATACTATCTTGTGATCAAGTAGAAATGCCACCTGTGTGAACTTCAGTTGCAGTAATATATATATGTACATGTCCATGTGCTAGCATTAAATGTCTTCTGTTAGATTTGTTTGTATTTATTTTTTAATAAAATTTAAAAATTATAGTTCAATCAGATATGATACATATTTTCGGCCTGTGTTTTAAATCCCATGAGCCGTCAGTCGATTAAATATGCACAGACATATCACAGTCAAAAAATATGAGTCCATATCTCCTGTGAAACTCGGATATCGAATTGACCAATATTCATGATAAAATTTTGATCGTGAAAAGTACTCTTACTTGCGGAATAAAAATGTGAGTTATTGCCTTTTGGCCTCAATTTTGATTTTTGAATTATCATGCATAATTGGAGGATATTACTCTGTCGACGCACCCGGTCCCTCTCCATTTTGAATTCATGCGATTCCCCCAGGTTTTGTTTGTTACCTTGATTTTTCTTTTGTTAATTGATTTACGTGATTTGAATATCGGTAAACTAGTTACGCCATTATTTACAAACACTACACCTGCGTAACATGACAATTTCTACACAACAAAACAACTGAAAGTGTTACAAAACTTATTTATGCCGTTAGCTGTTATTGATCACTAATTCTTAGCTATTGCAAATAAATTGAATTATGAAAAAAGTATTTACAAATTCACCGAACTCTAAGGTACATTCAAAAAGGGGGCAGTCCATAAAACATGACAAAATCAAAAGCTTGACTATATCAACTAACAAAACAAATATTGTTACTGACTTGGGAAAGGCATTTTCTGATAGATGTCCCTAATATTTTATACAAAATGAATATGTTCTGTGATACATACTTATATTATTCTTTAATAATGCAAGCATACTATTTTACGAATTGGTTGATCTATATGATGTGTCTGTGTCTAAACTAACATTTTTACCACGTCTTAGATTGTGGTTTAACATCTATGTCGTCTGTCTTCTAAGTATCAAACGTGACCTATTCCCGAATATAACTGTTTTGCCGAGTGTGAATTAGCATTGCTATACGACGTGTCTCGGTATTTGTACATCCAACATTCATGTATTTATTTACGATGTTTCTGTTGTGGTTTCGGTTGGATATTGTGTTATGTCTTATCGTTTGTGGTTTGAATTCTGTATTTTCGGTACATTTAACATATGTCTTATTTGTCAGTATAGTCGAGTTAATTTCCATTTTATATGGATAAAGTATTGTGTTAGTCCAAATAATTATGACGTCGTCACAGCATTTATTTTTCAGTACCGTCAAAGTCATGATAATTGTTTGGACTAGTATTGTGAAAATAATTGTATGAATTTCAAAATTACATATTCGTTACAAAAATACGTTACTGTTTGTGATGTTCTGTGCTGTCGTTAATGGAAGATGTTCGTTGTTATTCTGCGGTTTACATGTTGTAACGACTATTATATTATTTATTTGTACGTTTCTCTGTGCTGAGTGTTCTTGCGTTTGTTTGTGCTGTATTTCTGTCATTTTAGCGTTATTTTTTAACATTGCCATATAAGCGGGAGGTTTGGCTAGCCATAAACCAGGTTCCACCCACCATTTTTTCTTAAAATGTCTTGTACCAAGTCAGGAGTATGGCAGTTGCTATCAAATAGTTCGTTTCTATGTATGTTGGCGTTTGTTTTTGTTGCACTTCATTGTTTCTGTTGTTCCATTGTTTTCCTCTTACAGTTGATTTGTTTCCCTCGGTTTTAGTTTGTAACCCGGATATGTTTTCTCTCAATCGATTTATGACTTTTGAACAGCGGTATACTACTGTTGCCTTTATTTATCTAATAATACTAAGCCCACCAGGGATATCAGGTTCTTTAATTTAAGTTGAAATAAGACCTTTCCTCAAATCATAAACTTGATCATAAGTACCAATTGAAAAATAAAAAAATAGATATTAACAACGGTAAATCCAGCAACATAGGGCATAAAAGGTAATATACGTACACAGGTTTAAAAGAATGTCTCAAAGTAACTTCTGAGGATTTTCTCGTATCAGAAAAACAAACTTATCAAAGATATATATCAGATAAATATGTTGTTTTGGGCAATTGCTCCAAACACGAGTCCGAGCTTCTTGAAAATATTCAAATAGAAGCTGCTAGAATTATTACTGGATTACAGCGTAATTTCTCAAGACAAAAACCTTATATTGATTTAGGATTAGAAATTTTGGAGAATAGACGAAATAAACATAAGATTACTTAGTATACTGTTTTTAAGATATTAAATGGGATGACACCTGCATACTTATATGAGTTAGTCCAGCCATATTTTCCCAGACAAACACCTTTTACTTTGAGGAATGAAAATAATACTTTTCACCCCCACTTTCTAGAACTAGCTCTTAATTTAATAGTTTCAGTCCTCCCATTATAAGAATTTGAAATAGTCTTCCTCTAAGTATTCAAAAATCTCCAAGTTTATGTATATTAAGGTGTTATACCACGATTAGTCTTTGTTAAATTTGCACTTTTCAAAAACTTCTGCAAAATTTATCTTTGTTTCAAATAAAGAAATACTTTGCATGAGTAAAGTTTTATCCTGTCTAGTACTATAGGCAAAATTTCACATAACATTTCATTGCATATAAGAAAATAACCATCACTGGAAGTTAACCAATCAAATTTCACCCCTTTTTTGCTGTGTACAAGCTTCGGTAACCATGTAACCTCAAGTTTCCAAAATATTCTATAGAAACACCAAATAAAAAAATAATGGTGCTTTGAAACACCCAAGATATATGTTTATGACTCAGAAATATTTTACTGTAATTAAGTGTAGGATTAATTTCCTACAACTGTCAAATTCAAGAAAATATTTTTATAGACCCTTTTTCGTATGCAACCGGATGTGACGTACTTTGATTTGGTGGTATTACACCTAAAGAGGTAGACTGGACAAGTTCTATAGGACTGATGAAATATTTAAAACTTTTAATTATGGGATAAGGAAACAAAATATTAGTCATTGTCAACTTAGAAATAACGCTAGCAACCTAAAATATCATTTATTAATCAGTTCTTATCAGAGAACACTATTTATGCAAACTGTAATCACCCTGTTGAGGATAACCAGCATTTCTGTTTTTATTTGCCCTAAGAACAAGGATGTAAGACAGATCTTACTTGATTCTGTTTACTCAATTGTTGATAATGTTGACATAAATATTGACTAAATACCTTTTGGAAACGGATTATTTTCGTATGATATGAATATTGCTATTCTTAAATCTGTTCGAAAATATATAATTGACACTCATCGTTTTGTTTGAAATTTTCTTAATTTTTGTTTTTTTCAGTGTTTATGTTTTTTTCATTTCTTTCCTTGTTTTTCTCTTCAACAATTAATTCATTTATTCCACTAAGTAAGCTTAGTGTCTCTTCTAAATCTTATATATATATATTTCTAATGACTTATAAAAGATATTTACATGTCTCAAGGTACTTGAATAAATGATGATTAATTGCCTACATTCTTAAATATACTATACATTTAGTAATTAACACTATAAATATATATTTGCTTGTGTGTGCTCATAAGTAGCATGCATTTTCAACTATATTATATTATTTAAATACAGTTGTTAATATTTGATTTATGCCTTGAACATGTAATATGGAGAGAGCTTTTAATGGCTGTGCCTGCTGCTCAATCCTTTTCATATCTTCATGAATAAAATATGTTTAAAATCAATATATATATAGCGCAAAAATATTAAGTACTGTCCGGTATTATTTCTTACCAAATGTTTTCGTTTGTTATATTGTAATTAAGGTTACTGTAAATTCAGAAATTATTGCGAGGTTTTTATTTATGCGAATAAAGCGACTGGGAGTTGTATGTCAATAGTAGATTTTCACGAAACCGCTAAAATTAATCTCGCGTTTTTGTCCATTCTTAAAAATTCAATGATAAAAGCACGCAATAATTTCTGACTTTACAGTATTTGGAAGGAATTGGTTTATGTGTTTGTGAATTTAACCGACTCACTCATAAACGGTATAAAAAGCAGAGACCAAGTTAAGGTAAAATTTGTGAGGAACAAGCCGCGATAACACATCAATAAAACCCGTTAATCATCCTTGATCACGTATATTCTTGTGAAATGAAGTAACAATCATTATGAAATATATAATTGTTATTCACAAATAATTCATTTGATTTTGTTCCATGTTTTCCCACACAAAAATCTGATTTGTTAATCTTGGGAAGTAAAAAAGATTGGCCGGGTGTGGAGCGGTTCAAAGTCTTTTCCTTTGGTAACATCAGAACCCATTTAATCAATCTTTTAAAAATTTAAATATGTTGCTTCTCATGACAAAATGGAGGTAAAGTTTTATTTTGACGATAACTCTTGTGCCGTTCAAAGTAATTGTAATTGTAAGTCATTGGTTGAAAAATGGCGCAATGTGTTTCTTGTGATTACTTGAGAACTATATAACCCATTATTGATAAATTGTTTTTGATGACAAAATGGAAACCAAGTTTGATTTTGAGAAATTTCTGTAATGATGTTCATAGCTTCTTGTTTCTAGAGACTGTTTGTTGAAACAAATAACAAAGACGAATTGTTTGTCAATTTTCCACTTTCTCAATGAGACAGATTCTATCAATGAAAAATATCAGTTTCCAAAAAGTGCTACTTTAACATTCATTACCAACATTTGATTTTACACATCTATTTTGTCGATAAAAACAATGATGCTTTCACTGATTCAATGTTTTGGACACTATTTTTCTCATCACTGAACTCTTTCGTCACCAAGAATATTCATACTTTATGAATTTGAACAGCATATCATTGTATAATTTGGACAAACGCGGATAAACTATTTGTTGACAATGGAATAAAAAAATGTACCGTTTCCATAAATATTTCTGTATATTGTCAACCGACTCATTCATAAACTGAATTAAGTGTAGAGACTAAGTTAAGGGAAATTTTGTGAGTAACCAGCCGCGTTAACACCAATAAGATCCGTTAATCAACCTTTATAACTTATATATTCCAATGAAATGAAGTTACAATCAGTTTACAATAAAGAATGAATATTTGTAAAATATTTTTTATGCTTAGTGTTTCGGACTGCAGTCAATATGAATTTTTTTCTTTTGACATCAATAAATTTGTACATTATTCAGTTTCATGACTTTAACTACTCAGATGTTAGCCTACAAATAAGACATAATTCTAAAACAACAAAGATCATTTCTAATGCAAATATTTTGTATCAATGGTTCTGATTGGATGACAATAAGCGTAAAATTCTCTATCTCCCTGCCTGGAACTAAGGAAGCCGACATTTTGAAATCCGGAATGTATTGACATGTAATTTCTCCAATAATAAGCAAAAAGACTCACATTTTGCACCAAGAAATCTTCTTATCAAATTTTATTACATTCTGAAGTCGACAAGAAGCCAGAAAACGCCCGGTGTTTACGTTTGATGCCGGAAGCATATTTATGACGTCACCTAGTTTAGGCACCAAAGAAGATAACATCATTTCGCGGGATTTTCGTTTAATGAAAATTTACACTATAATAATGACTAAAATTGAATGATTTGTTTATTTTGCATTAGAATAGAGAAAACTGTATTGTATTGAAGCTCCGCTACTCGTCGCCAGGTAAACTAAATTTGCGACAGTAAAACTATCGATGGACGTCCGCAAAGCTTCAAATACAATACAGTTATCTCTAAAATCTCTTTCACAACTGTTTCATTGGTCTATGATTAGCTATGTTCTTTTCAAATAATTCATTTGATTTTTTTACCATGTGGTCCGACAGTAAACACATGATTTGTTAATCTTGGGAAGTACAGAAAAATGACCGGATGTAGGCAGGCTCGAAATCCTGTCCTGCGGCAACATTATGACCAATTCAATCAATGTTTTAAAACATTTAGTATTTTGTTTCTCATGACACAATGGAGGTAAAGTTTGATTTTGACATTAACTCTTATGCCGTTTACGGTAATTGTAGGTCATTGATGGAAAAATGCCGCTATGTGGTTTCCTTGTAATAACATGAGAACCATTCAAGAAAGTAAAGCAAAAATACCGAACTCCAAGGCAATTTCAAAATTGGAAAGTTTATAAAAACTGACAAAATCAAACGCTATCAATCAACGGAACAAGTGAAAAACAACTGGCATATTCCTGGCGTCCTGAAAATGGTGAGTTAAACCGTATTTTATAGCGAACTTAACCTCACACTTGTATGACATGTGTTTATAGTTTCGGTATATTGACAAAACTAGGTGAGCAACCAAAAACAGACATAATAGGTTCAACCCATTATTGTTAAATTGTTTCTGATGACAAATGGAGACCCAAGTTTGATTTTGAGAAACTTCTATAATGCTGTTCACGAATTATGCCCCATGACTAATTTCACAAAAATGTACGGAAAACATGTGTGTTGGTGTCATTTTGATAGCTTCTTGTTTGTCAGTTGTTCAGGTTTCTCAATAAGACAAATTCTACCAATGAGAAAATCAATGTGTTCAAACTGCTAATTTAACCTTTATTATCGACATGTATTTTCAAAATATTTATTTTAGTGATAAAAACAATGACGCTTTCACTGATTCAATGTTTTGGACAATATCTTTCTCATCATTGAGCTCTTTCGTCACCAACAATATTCATAGTTTATGAATTTGAACAGCATATCACAAACTATATTTGGACAATGAAATGAAAAAAATTATGTACCATTTTCGTATATTGTTAAGTAAACGAAAACAGTGCGCTGCCCCCAACAAAACAACATTTATTATTTTATTTTATGAATAATTTAGCATACAATTTTTTGCGTTCGATTACGGACTCTTGCAGTATGGAAGGCTATTTGGACAAAGGAGTCCCATAATAAAACACTAAGGATGTTCTATCCCAGGACATAGGCTTTTGATG